ACCATCCATCCATCCATCCATCCATCCATCCATCCATCCATCCATCCATCCATCCATCCTATTGTCCTGAGTTGGGTCACGGGGACAACAACTTGAGCCCAGACATCTCTTTCCACAGCCATCTTTTCCAGCTCTTCTTGGAGGACTCTTAAGGCATTCCCAGGCCAGCCCATAGACAGTCTATCCAGCTTGTCCTGGGTCTTCCCCGGGGCCTCCTCCCAGCAGGACATGGACAGAAAATCTCCTTAGGTAGGTGTTCATCCCTACCAGCTGCCCAAAACACCTCAACTGGCTCCTCGATGTGGAGGTTCAGCAGTTCTACTCCGAGTCCCTCCTGGATGAGTTAACTTCTCACCTTATCTCTAAGGAGAGTCCAGCTTTCCTGCAAAGAAAACTCAGTTTGACAGCTTGTATCCATGATCTTGTTCTTTCTCTTGCTGCTTAAAGTTTGTGCCCACAGGTGAGGGAAGGGACGTAGACCCACTTGTAAACTGAGAGCTTGTTCTTGCAGCTCAGTTTCCTCTTCACCACAGTGGACCGGCACAGAGCCTGCAGTACTGTAGAAGCAGCACCAATCTATCTGTCTGTCTCATCCCCCCATCTTCTCTCAATCATTAACAAAGCCCCAAGGTAAATAAACTCCTCCACTTGAGGCAGAACCTCGCTCCCGTCTCAGAAAGGGGAGTCCATCCTGTTCTGACTGAGGACCTCGGCCTCAGATTTTGGAGGTTCTGATCCTCCAAGATATCATGTTGCGCCAGTTATTCAGACCAACTCTCAAACATGGTGGCAGAGAAGTGATGATTGGGGCTTGCCATCCAGCTCAAGGACCTGGTGTTTAACAACCTAAAGTGTCCTGACCAAAAGCAGGCTGTGTGAGTCGTATTTGATTTAGAAACAGGAGCAGATCTGAAAGAAAATGATCAATGTGTTAAAATTGTCACGCCTGAGCTCATTTAAATACCACAGTGATGGACTTTTGTGAGAGCTGTGCATGAACAAATTGTTACAAAACCAGGACAAGTGAAGGCATCGTGTGTGTGTTTGTGGGACACTCACTAAGGAAGTGTCTGGGAAGTGAAGCATCCGTCCAAGATCTGGCAGTCTCAAAGAGCTGAGTCAGCCGTGCAGTACTCCATCTGTCACTAGAGCCGCCTCCAGTTCGTTCAGCACACAGCAAACACACAGCAGCAACAAGGGGAGTAAATGGGAGACCTCAGACATGTGGGGGGAGGGGGATACAGAAAACTGATCAATACTTGAAGAAGAGGATTTCCATCAGAAATGCAGTGCCTCTTAGCTTCATGTCTGCCATCTCTTCCTTCCCCTCTCCCTCTTTAAAGCTGCTTCCACTCTCCTACTCTGGGGAGTCTCAGCTGGCAGGGACTGTAGACTTTAGTGCGAGTCCACCGAGACCCCCGGCAGAGAGAGCGACTCAAGGACGGTGCCAGAAAATCTAGGCTGAACAAATAGTTCCCCTCTCCCCCAGCACATTAACCAGCGCACACACACAGCAAGCTGAGCGGCTGAGTAGCCACTGGATGAGTTAGCGTGATGTGTTTGGGGGAAACTGAAAGTTGTTTCTGACTAATCTCCCTGATCCCGCACCAGTGGCTGGCAAGGGTGGGGAGAAGGGGGGGGGACATGTCCTTTTTTGTGCCCTTGTCTGTCCCACATCCCGACACATCTCCTGCCTTGTCTGTTAGTTTTTACTCTTGCATTTCATGTGTTCTTCAGAGCACCAGAACCACGCGCGGGAGCTGGTGAGGAAGGCCGACCTGTCACAGTGGGACGCTCTGGTCATCATGTCCGGTGATGGGCTACTGTTTGAGGTACACCCCCCACCCACCCCACCTCCTCCTTCTGCTTACTAATCATGACAGTTGTTAATCAGCCACAGATGGAAATCCACCTTCCATCCGCTTCTGTATCTATTTTCAGCTCTTCTCGGAAACGGAATATGAAATTTTAATTTGCTCTCAGACATGACAAAGGAGATCAGGTGCTGTGGTTGTTGCACCAAAAACCTGTAGCCTTCTAGAAATCATTCTCGTCTTATTTTTGGTCTCAGTTGATACAAAACAAATGTTTCCAACAGGGAATTTATTTTTCAATAGAATTTAATCTATAATAAAATATTGGAAACGATACAATACTGTATAAACCAACAGTTCTTGCTCAATAATCCAGATATAAAATCCAACAATGTTCATTCAGGTCATCTGGACGGTTTCTTTTTCTGCTTAAAGGTTTCCTCTCACATTACACAATACAATATATACTGTAAGTGCTAGGTGTTGTCGTCAGTGTATGTTCCCATACAATGGGGACATGAGTTCTTTGCATTTAACCCATCACACCTGAGATATAGCCAGGGAGCAGTTGGAATTGGGTGTCTTGCTTGGGGACACCATGACATGTGGGAATGGCAGGGAGTCGAAAGTCGGCTGTCCTACCGCTACACCATTTCAACCCCAGTAATCCCCAAATATGTGATGTGAATTGGTACAGTATGGTACAGAACCACTCTATCAGTAAAACTCTACAATACGTATTACACCTGTTTTTAGATCTCTACACTGGTTTCCTATTGAAAGGTCAAGGTAGCTTAGCTTTACCTTGTACCTTTTTCAAATCAAGGGAAGCTGCCTTTTGTATTTGCGCTCCTTTTTGTTTTGCTAAAGAATAAGTTTGTATTGTTGTGTTTTTTGTTAGTTTTGTTTTTTCATCACAATATACTGTGTTTGGATGTGTCTGTCTGCATAAATGTTTATCTAAAAATAATTGTTCTTCCATCTGTTAGGTTCACTGACTTATGTGCCTGAAATCAGGGAAAACCTGGAAAATGACGTTCACATTTTCCAGACAGGGAAAACCCAGGGAATTTGAGAAAACTGTCAAAAATCAGGAAAAACTCAGGAATTTGAACACTGATCTGAATGCAAGATGAATTTTCTGAGATTTTGACTTGTACATGTGACAATGCTAGAATGCTGTTATCATAGTCCATGTTCTGCTTCTACATTGTACATTACTGACTGGTCATAGTGATTTTTTAGTATCTGATGATATACAATATAATGAATTATTCAGAATGATTGCTGTATGCACGTACCATAGCCTACAGTTCTACTGAAACAGGAAATCCTTTGCCTGCAACCTAAGACACTAAGTCCTGAGTGTTTAGTGTGACTGAAACGTCTCCTGGAGTGTTCAGGGTTCACTCTGGGGAAAACTCAGGGAATTTCATTTTTATGAAATGCTGAGAACCCTGGAAATGCACTTTCTATATATAGTTTCATTTAATTTTCTGATGATACGTTTATAGTTGAAACAAGGCGGAAAATTTCTGGTAAATTTCAGGAAATTTAGGGAGTTACCATAAGCTCAGGGATTTTGGAAATATTTCATATTGGAAACTTTCCATAATATTTATGGGTATCAGTTGGAAATTGGGGGTAATTTAAGCATTTTGGATCATACCCAAACAAAACTATAAAGCTTTTTTGTCACAGGAAGATATTGTCAAAAAAATATTTGACCCAAAGTTTATAAAGTGAACTAATCTATTGATTTAATTTGCATACAATGGCATCATTGATGACTTCATTGTAGTACAACCACACAACCATTAGAAAACAATGGATTTCAACCATTTTTCCAGTTATATTTTGTTGCAGTGGGAATCATTTTCTAAACTCTTGTACACAACTCTGAACCAAAATATTAACTTTATATGATGTTTATGTTTATATCACCGTACTTGCATAAAAATAAATCAAAAATCAGTTGCATATCACAAAAAAACATTGGAACGTCCAAATTTATGTTAAAAAAATGTCAAATTTCATTGAGCTCTGAACAAAACTACTTGCATGGTATTTGATCACTATTTAGTCTTTATGGGGGGTCATTTTATCTACAAAAAAAAAAATCTATAAATTGCATTTCACAACAAAACTAAATACACCTCTGAACTTAACGTGTAACATGTTACTATTTCTTTCTGTTTAGACATGTTCAGGTGATGCAATGTATCATTTTTTTTATTACGTAGCACCTCTAATTACATAGTACCACAATGAAATCTGATGGTTTTAGTAAAGATTGTGATAAAATATTCATAGCCCAGATACATTTATATTTCCATTTATACCCATAAAGTCTTACAAATAGTTTCCAACTAGGAAAAATACAGTACACAATACACACTGATACAGTCAAATTCATTATACTTGTCCTTAAAGCTCTTTTCCCTTGACTTTCATCACGCTTTGGTTTATTTAGGGACTCTTTGGTTAGTGTAATTTTTCTTCTTCATCCAGGTGATAAACGGTCTGATGGAGCGAGAAGACTGGCAGCAAGCCATCCAGACGCCTCTGGGGATCCTACCAGGTGGTTCTGGCAATGCCCTGGCTGCATCCGTCCACCACTGCTCCCAGTGAGTCACTTTATTAATGAGTCATTTAAATGCATCAGCTAACGGTGCAGAAGACGATCCAAGTTAAGTTTTAAAAAAGGACAATTTATCTCCTTCCTGTGTAATTATGGTAAAGGGCTGACTGGGCGCATCATTCCTCAGGAGGGTGGAGACACCAGGACTGCTTTGCTGTGCAGAAAGAGGTCATTTCAGTATTCTCAGACTCCCAAAGGGATGATGTAATGGCTTTAAAAACTTGGGCATTTGGACTGATTACAGTCCAGAATGTAACTGGGCAGAATTTGGAGCCAGCACACGTCGGTGGTGTCGTCTCCACCTTCTGGCTGCTTGTTTAACATCAAAGACGCAAAGCCAAAAAAAAAAAAAAAAGCCACGAAACACATCAGCATAACTTAAATACCTCAGATTTACTCAGTACTGAACTTTGAAACATCTGAACCCCCTCAACAGATTCTTTTAGCTTATTTGTGGCAGGTGCAGACACAGTTCAACCCAAACCAGCCTGCTGTTTCAGTGACATTCGGACTCCATGCTCCGGCTTGAAGAATGGGATGAAACCCTGAAAGGGTTTACTTTACATGGTAGTGGTCATTATATTTTTGGCTTATTTTCTACATGCCGGTGCAGAAAATCTCCCAACATGAGCACATTTTAACAAAGTCTATTCACTTGGTTTTAGAATAGTTTTACTACTGCACTACATTGTAATAATGACCTCTGATTACTCCAACAAAGTTCAGTCAGGTCAGGACAGTTTCTTTTTTTTGAGACATTTCGTCCTTCATCCAAAGGACTTCGTCAGTCCAAGAAGCCACAACAAACTCAATCCCACAAGCAGCACACTCGCGTAGTGGGCCAACCAGTTTGCTGGTGATAAGATGGTTTCTGGGACCCACCCTCTCCCCCGTCAACTCCTCTGAGGCAGCTATAACCAAAGTGATTCAAACCTTCAAAGTTCATGCGCATTAATCCAGGTAAAAACAACAAAAGTTCAGTCAGGTCATCTGGACAACTTCTGGACAGGATTTTTTTTTTTTACCTGGATTACTGAGCATGAACTTTGATGTTTTGAACCTCTAATTACTGTTTTTTTTGTTTGTTTTGTTTGTTTATTTTTTATTATGTATTATTCACCTGTAACAATCACAGGTGTGAGAAATGTCAAGTAAACTGATTACAGGTAGTCAGGAGCGGCTTGGACTTCTCTTTGTGACTTTAGTTCTGAGGCGTAACGTCTCACCGTGTTAACACAATCATGGTTTCACTGCTAATTATTAGTGTTTATTTTTAGTGAGGGTGTTAGCAAGCTGCAACAGTGGAGCCCCATGAACCACGGCAGCCATGGCTGGATAACATGCACCAACCTAAGGCGAGCTGAGAATCAGTGCTTTTCTAACTGATTCCAAATCCGTGCCCTTGGTTTTGACATCGGTAACAACGGACCCTGATCAGTTCTCTATAATCTGTCAGAAAAGTTCCTTTTTAAGTTAAAAAGTCATCATAGTGTTCCTTTAATTTCACTGTATTTGTATTTGAATGATATCTCGTATGCTAAACATTAGTTTCACTCACCAAATTTTACTAAATTCTCTTTAATAATGTATTTACTAAGGTCTTAAATTGGATTCTCTTAGACATATTTGAATGAAACTCTTTTCTTTGCTAACAATTTTATACAAGAATGTATTTTCTTATATAAACAAACAGAAATGCAGTGAAAGAGTAATTTCTCAGTTTAAATACTGTGTAACATCCCAACACGGCTGTTTCCTGCCAAACCTGTTTCTAATTATTGATTTCCATCAGGTCGCCTCCAGCGTGGAATGAAGAGCTGCTCCTGTGCTGCGGCTTCACCCTCTGCAAAGGTCTGGTAGGATCTCTGGACCTGGTGTCGGTCCACTTGGCCACGGGGCAGCGCCTCTTCTCCTTCCTCTCCCTGGCCTGGGGCTTTGTGGCAGACGTGGACATCGAGAGCGAGAGGTACCGTCACGTGGGAGCCCTCCGCTTCCTGATGGGCACCCTGGTGCGTCTGGCCACCCTGAGGGTGTACCAGGGCAGGTTGGCGTATCTTCCTGTGAAGGAAGCGCCGACGCTTCAGAGAGGAGGCGTAAACCGCCCATCGTCCACACCTCAGCAGCCCTCGCTCTGCTCCTCTCTTCCCTGCCGCCTCGGTCCCAACACGTCGCCGAAGCAGAGCGCTCGCCACAGCCGCATCAGCACGAACCTAAACCAACACTCCATCTCCAACTCCTCCAACAACGTCCTCACCAACATGAGGCCGGAGACACCGAGCGACAGGAAGACCACCTCCCCCGTGGACTCTCTGCTTCCTGGCCTGGACCAGCCAGTCCCAGAGAGCTGGACCGTGGTCAAAGAGGAGGACTTTGTCTTGGTGCTGGCCATTTACCAGTCCCACCTGGCGGAGGATCTGTGGATGGTCCCTGGAGCAACGGCAGACGACGGACTAATTCACCTGTTCTACGTGACGGCGGGAATCTCTCGACCCGCCCTGCTGCGCCTCTTCCTCGCCATGGAGAAAGGCGCCCACTTGGCGTGCGGCTGCCCCCACCTGGTGTACGAGAAGGTGCGGGCCCTGCGGCTGGAGCCCGCCTCCCCGCAGGGCGTGATCACTGTGGATGGAGAGGTGGTGGACTACGGACCGGTTCAGGCTCAGGTCCACCCGGGATTAGCCAGACTCATATGTGGATGAACACGAATCGTCTTTATTTTTCCAGTTTGGCCTTTTTCTACTCGGTGTCAGCGTCTTTGTGCTGTTTTCAGAAGTGCCAAAGATATTTAATCAGCCTCGGGAAGTCCCGTTATTTTTCTACTGAGACAACTTGTCCTATTTTTTACGGACCCCCACCCCCAGCATCCCCTCCTTCTCTCATCGTTTAGATTCAGGGTCAGAACCAGAGAGGGTTGGTGCTTCTGGCTGGTCCAGGCTCAGAGAAGCAGGGAGGGATTGTGTGTGTATGTGTTTAAAAAAAAAAAAGAGAGATCTTTATGTACGTCTGTGTGCATTCGAGTGTGTACATGTGTGCGATTGTGCATGAGGAGCTTTGGCAGCACGGTGGCAGAGGAGTGCGTGGTGCACTTTGCTGTCGGACCTCATAAGCAGGGCTCATGTGACGAGAAACGTGTGGTTTTTTTTTTCCTGTCCTCGGAGGCTCGTGGAGAGGCCACGCCCCCTCACCCTCGCTACGCCGCTCCACGCAGACAATCTCCACTGCCTGCCCATCATCAGCTTTAAAAAAAACAACAACAACATACAAATCCTTCAGGGACTTAACACCGATGAATCTTTAATATTCACAAAGCTTGAAACAAAAGTACTTTAACAATATAAACCTGGTCACGTTGGGTATCGTTGCTCCTGTTCGACCCATTTCTACTCAACCATCATCAAACTGGAAGAACGGCCTCCTCTCACACGCTTTCTTCTCCCCTCCCCCCTCCATCCTCTTCCGCTCACACACATTCCCTTGCATCTCTGCAGCACTTAGCGAGGGGGAGGGGCCTGATCTGCCACAGAGTATGATTCCCACCCCTCGCCATCTTAAGATTGTACTCTTCCTCCGTTTGGTTAACAAACCATCAGCACCTAATGTGACCTTAATATTTACATCTGTAAGAGCACACGAGACAAAGTTTTTTTGTTTTGGCCCATGCAGGCTCCTGTAAGTGGCTTTCAAACACACATTAGGCCGGTTGAAGCACACTCTAGTGGATAAAGTGCAGTTTCATAGGAGCAGCGTTGGCGATCAACATGATCAATGTGGGCCGGAGGGAGTCAAGTGTTTTGCTCCTCTGCTCGGCCTCCTGACTGGCGGCGAGCAGCGCGGAGGAGCGTGCAAATGTTTGCATTAAAGTTTTCTGACTCGCCGGTTTACTTCCAGCTCCACCACTGCTGTTCACGCACAGGTGTGTGACTGAACCAGGTCACATTTTAAACAGATTGTTCAGATTATTTAAAGCAGGGTTTCGTGGAACGATTAACAAATAATATCTTACCTGTTTTAGATGGGTCTTTGAATGCTCACAGAGTGAAGAAATGACTTTTATTAGCAATATAAGTCAACACCAACGTATTTGTCTGCATTCGATGTAGCAACATTTTACTACTACAGTTATAGTATTATGATGTATTATGACTTATTTAATGACATACAAACAGACAGAAGTCATAATAAAGATTTTATTGCACCTATCACAGCATTTTATGTGTGAGGCAGCCATATTGGATTTAATGTCAGAGCTGGTCAAGATTCAAACCTTGGAGGGGGATTTTTTTCCAATTTAAAACTCTAAAATTCTGACTTTTGAGTCCAATCAGAACACCAGTTAAGTTTAATCCTGACTGGATTGACAAGATAACGTTTAGTCTGAGCAAGGTCTACGTCAAAGTGGGTCGGCCACTTTTCTAAAACTGTACTGGTATACTTCAACTCATCCACTGTCGTCACTTTCACATTTCATGGTTATTTACATCATTTGTAAGCACAAACAGAGCTAGTAGCAGCTAGCTGTAGCACTTCCTGTGCAGTCTGAAGACATTTTCTGCAGGTATGTAGTACCATCTTGATCAGAATTACTTTGCAGTGTGAAACTGACTGTGAGGTAAACGTTTATAAATGAATATTTTCTGGAATGGCTATGAAATTAGTAAGATTGGTGTGTGGTTTTTAAGCCAGTAATTCACTTTGGGCTTAGTTCAGCTCAGAGTAGCTGTTAGTTCATCAATCCAGTCACATTTAAGCTCTATTTCTCCAAATGGAGGTCGCTCAAAGAGCTATCTACAACAGGTAAGATATTTATTGTTCATAAACTTTCCACAAGCCCTGCTGTATTTTATTTTATTTTTTACAAGCAACTATCGTTCCTCAACTTGAAAACAAATCATGATTCTGTGTTTTGTCAACGGGGTGAAAAAGATCGTAGAGTTTGAATACTGCTGCGTTTGCTGAAAACAAAACCACCTCCTACACAAAGTGACACTGTTGACTGTTAGCAGGTTAATGAGGCTCAGAAAATAGCAGATTTTTAGCTTTATTTAAAATAGTTTGATAAATTTAGCTCTGTCATTCTGAGGGCTAAACCAACACAATGATAGCACAAATAACCTCCAGCTGCTTTTCCAAGGGCTTCCCAAGCAACTGGCTTCCACTGAACAAAGCACAAACATTTTTATTTTCCTAAATCGAAATGCAAACTTGAATCAGGACTGTCAAAAATTATTAGAATGTGGTGGCGAGACAGCTGGAGGAGTCACGCTCTGGAAGCTGCAAGAGATTTGATGATAAGATGGCGCCTCTGTAACCGGAGTAAAAGCTTTCCAGTGGGGCCTGCTCTGCGAAAAAATATCCCACGAGGGAATCTGATGTTACTTTAGCTTCTGCAGTTTTGGCTCAATAGGGTATATTAGCATAAGTGAATGTGAATTAACCCCGCAGCTCTGCTGCACGATCCAAGTATCTTAAGGAAATGTTTACATACTGTAGGCCTTGCAAGCTTTACTCTTTCGTTGTAGCCGTTTGGGAGAAACCTCAAAAATACTGCCGTGCAGTTTCACGCAATATTGAGAAATGTCTTGCTCAGTTCTGAGGATGTGATGTGAATGACTCTCTGCTACTACCACGTCTAATTTTAGCTTTATAGCGGTAAAATATGACCACGTGGTTATGTGTTTCTAAGGTCAGCCATCTTGAATTGGGTCGACTCCAAAAGGTAATCCAGCTGTAGATGCGCGTCTAGAACTGTCTACGCCTTTCACTGATGGCTGTTTAACAATTTTAACACTTTTGTCTTGTTTGCGACAAAATACGAATGTTGCAACAATGTTTCTAGTGAGGAAACCTATTTTAGTTCTTTGTATACAAGCACGGTTTCCTCAGATCCATCTTCCCTCAAGAGTTCAGCTGTACTTGAGCTGACTCATTTTCACTGCGGTGCCATTTTTTTCATCCAAGACTTGATTTCACATTCTGTGACCTTTTACTCCTGCTGCACCTGTACCCAACATGCTGCACCTCTGAGCAACACTCAGTGAAGTTTATCCAGCTGCTCACATGAGCTATGCAAACGCCAAGTCATGGCTGCAGATATTTGGAGCCGGGGGTCCCCCTGCTGGAGCGAAGGCTTCATCTTTTCTGTTTGGCAACACGACCTCCTCGACATCCACCCGTTCACTTCCTCTCGTGTAAAATGCAAACAAAAACAGAATGCAATGGTTTGCAGATCGTATTTTATTCACAATGAAGCACAGTTAACACGTCAAAAGTTTAAACAAATAAATTGTGGCATTTTTAGGGGAAAAAATGGATGATTTTGAATTTTATGGAAGCTGGAGGAGCATTTTAATAGATGCTGTGATCTTTGTTCCTTCAGGGACCAACTGCGTTACAAACAGGTCTGATTCTGCATCACTGCACAGCTCGGGACCACGTCCACAAACATCTGTAAACACAGTTCACTGTGCCATCCACAAATGCAAGTTAAAGCTCTATCATGCAAACATGTAGCCACTCAAACCGTGTCACGGTTTTTGATTTGGTGCTAAAATGACCGATGTCAAAGACAAGACAGAGGAAATCGGTGTTTCCTCCGAGACTGACCGGTTGGAGGAGAGATGGGCGCGTTGCCAGGACAACCTGGATAGGGCGGAGATTAAGAGCAGGAAGGAGAGGATGTCAGAGAAGGAGACGAGAACTGCAGGAGGAAATGGCAACAATAAATGAGACGGTGCAAAAGCTAGACAAAGATTTGCAGAGGAAGAGGTGAGAACTGGAAGAACATGCTGCCGTCAGCGCACTTGCCTACTGCGCCTTTTTCTACAACGACGTCGACGTACGACACCACCCACCCATCAGGACTGAGCCAGCCCTGACCGCCTTAATATAGGACGAGTGTTTACAGACAAAATGTTTCAAACATGTCTCTCTTGAAAATGAGCCCTCGTGACTCACAGAGACTAACTTAAATCAAGGTTGAACGAATGAACGCAAAGAAGGAAAAAAAATACTGAACACAATCCAGAAACGGTGCCGTCCGACAAAGTTCAATAAACATGGACTGAGGCAAAATGGAGAACTGTTCCGTGGTCAGACAAATTCAAACGTTTAACTTTTTGGTCCTGAAAAAAGAAGCAGGACCATCTAACCAGCTGTAAGGGCACAGCTTAAAAGTATGCCTCTCTGATGGTATGGGGGTGCATTAGTGCATATAGCATTGACAACATGCCGCATGGAATAACAATGAGACATTGATCTGTGAAAGCTCCAGCAGCTGCTCTCCTCAGGTCCTCCAGGTTTAGACTTAGAAGAAGTCTGCTGCCATAAACCTCTAAACGATGTTTTCCCCTCAAAATGGCACAATTGATACGTTTACTATGGTCCATTGTGAATAAAGTACAGGCTTATAAGGTGATCGGTGCGTTCTGTTTTTTACTTTACATTTATATATTTTCCTACATTTTGAAGGAATGAGGTTGCATTTAGGTCCAGATTTGTTCTCGTAAACAATAATTACAGCCGACATCCAGCTCATTGTAACCTCATCACAGGAAACAGCTTCATCCTTGCAAATAATAACTCCTGTGACAAACGGCATGAAACTATTAACCTCTGGTACTGAAGTAGATACTCCACTGGCTGCTGAACATGGTGGTGAACACACCTGCTGCATCATTAATGTAAAAACAATTCAAGATTT